TACCTGACCCAGGGATCACACCCAGGTCTCCTGCATTGCTGGCAGATTCTTTACTATCTGATCAAGCAATTCAAATAATTATGTTAATCCTCTGTATTTTTGGAATTTGATAATATGTATCAAACATATTGATGTATAATATGTATCCAAACATATTATCAAATTCCAAAAATACAGAGGATTAACATAATTACTTAAACTGTTTCAGGCCAGAGTTATCTTAATTATGGCTATCTGTTTTAAGAATAAAGCTATAACTATCAATATTTTTAATTTTGTGGGTTGAACTTTGTAATTTTTATTTTTCAGAAATGTCACATAGTCATAAGAAGAAATTCTGTTCTGGAAGAAGCCTGGTGAAATTACTTATGCAAAAGATCCAATCAGCTTGAGTAACTGTTTTTCTTACAAAAATTATCTCAGTGCGCCCTCTGGTGGCTTTTCTGAAAAATAGACTTTTATCTACTCAAGTTGAAAATTTACCGAAAGGAAACTCGGAAACAATTGACTGCAAGGAGATCAAACCAGTCAGTTCTAAAGGAAATCAGTCCTGATTATTCATTGGAAGGACTGATGCTGAAGCTTAAGCTTCAGTACTTTGGCCACCTGATGTGAAGAATGGACTCATTGGAAAAGACCCTGATGCTGGGAAAGATTAAAGGAAGCGGGAGAAGGGGACGACAGAGGATGAGATGGTTGGATGGCGTCACCGACTCCGTAGACATGAGTTTGAGCAAGCTCCGGGAGCTGGTGGCGGACAGGGAAACCTGATGTGCTGCAGTCTATGGGGTCATAAAGAGTCAGACACGACTGAGCCACTGAACTGAAACAATTGATATGAAAATGGGTACAAATGGTAAAATATGAAAAACTCTCTGAACCCTGACTACCTGGATTTAAAGATAACTCATTTATCCCTCGGAGAAGGCGATGGCACCCCACTCCAGTACTCTTGCCTGGAAAATCCCATGGACGGAGGTGCCTGTTGGGTTGCAGTCCATAGGGTCACTAAGAGTGGGACTCGACTGAGCGGCTTCACTTTCACTTTTCACTTTCATGCATTGGAGAAGGAAATGGCAACCCACTCCAGTGTTCTTGCCTGGAGAATCCCAGGGACGGGGGAGCCTGGTGGGCTGACGTCTAGGAGGTCGCACAGAGTCGGACACAACTGAAGCGACTTAGCAGCAGCAGCAGCATTTATCCCTCTGTTCAAAAAGGTTCATTGATACCTGCTGTTAAAGATGAAAAGTGAAAGTGTTAGCCACTCAGTCGTGCCTGACTCTTTGTGACCCCATGGACTGTAACCCACCAGGCTCCTCTGTCCATAGGATTCTTCAGGCAAAAATACTGGAGTGGGTTGCCATGCCCTCCTCCCCGGTCTCCTGCATCGCAGGCAGATTCTTTACCATCTGAGCCACCAGGGAAGCCCCCCTATCTGTAGGGAGAGAATTCCCAAAAGAGACTTTCCGTTCCAGCTGGGGGAGCATGCAGTTCACGGATCCTGATGTTTCTCAGAGATGCCAGTTTACCTTTTCTTCCCTTTCCCCATCTTTTTTTCTTTTCTTTTAATTGATTTGATAGAATATCTTCATATAACTTTATGAGATATGGTATAAATACATGTAGCTTGCCCTAAATTTAAGGACAATATCCTCCATTGTGAAACTCTGCTCTGTATAAAGAGGTGCCGCTAACTTTCTGTTCTGCTTCAATGGCGCACCTGGGCCCAGGTCCTTACGCACAAAGCATGCAGGTTACAATGTATGTGGTCCTTTTGGGGTTGAGCTCTACATGCAGCCGGCCCTGGTCAAGGAATTTTTATTCTTATATAAACTTCAACAACTTTCAAGACTGTGTTAGAACTGAAGTTTTACTATTAAATCTTATCTTCCCTTTGTACATGATGTGGCAATAGTAGGTATATCTTGCCTGGTCCACAAATTATTTCAAAGACATCCATGTTTTCTATGGTCTGATAACTTCAGATTACATACTGCAACCAAGTTCATCTCTGCTGGAATAGGATGAGACAGTTCCTACAACAGGAACCAGATGGCACTGATTGGTCCTGATTGGTCTTTTGGCCCTTGCCAAATCAACCCACTTCAGGTATCTCACTTTGTATGTAAAACGGGGACCAAAGTGCCAGACTGGAAACCATCCTCCTAAAAGAGCCTTAGGAAAGCAGTCTCTGAAATGTTTCTTAGCTAGACAAGGGTAATGATCCTACAGAATCATCTAGCCAGAACATCGCTTGTTGCTGTTTCCCCAGCGTGTTGCTGAGGATAGGAGTTTTCAGGAAGTCGAGGAGTTTTCTAGTGAGCTTCTCTACCATGACCATTCGTGTGCCATGCCTGTGAATTCAGCTACCTGAAATAGCAATGTGTGTGCTGACAATTTAAGCCATTTCTCTTCCCTTCTCACTCTCCACACAAGCTGCTCAAATATTCAAGAAATGAATGAAATAACAAGCTTATTATCCTTTTTCCATCCAGCATATGACCCAGGGTTTTTGTGCGAATTGGCAGTTTTACATCATTTTCATAATCAACCAAAATAAAGAGGTTAGGGGATTTCACCCTTAACCTTATCCTGTCAAGTACTTCTATCTATTTATTGCTTATCCATTAGATAACATTTCCCTGAAAGCAGTGTTTTTAAAATTAATGACACATAAATGCTAAGGTGACTGAATTATGGATCCCTTGTTCTCAGAAGTAGAATATAAACTCTTCACACAGAATGTTTCAGCTTTTATTTGAACAAGAGCTTCCTTGCCATGGACTAGCAGAGTTTCTGCATTTCTCTAGAGAATGCCTAAGCACATATATTACATAAGTGTACCAAGGAAAACCTAGTAAAACCAAGTGGACAATTTTAAAATAACAGAGGTGGTAGAACCAAACAACACAGTTTACAGGAAGACTGCAAAAATTCAACACAGAGTTAAAACCTTTGCAATGCAATGAGGTGAGTAAATTCTACTCTGGCATGGCTACTGGCATAGTTATTTTGCTTGGTACCTAAGTCATAAGAAGGTAGACTGAGACTTATAGTCTGGAGTTCTACATGCTATTATGAAGGCAATAACCTAGAAACAATGATACAACAGTTTATCCAACAGTGTAGAAAGCCAGGAGGAATCAAGTTCTGGGTCCCATTTAATCACACACACATAAAAGGATGCCAGTCCACACCTGGACAACACAGCCATGTCAGTCCTACATTTTTTCCAGTGATCTTCTTGTGGATTCAAAGACAGCCAGGCTGATCCATGTGTGTGCGTAGGGGGTAGGGAGTGGTGCCATTGATAGGCGGGTCACATGGCTCTGCCCTGATGTGTATCCCGAGGATGTCAAAGTAGTCACTGAGTTTACAAAGACAGATGAGGCTTCACATCTGGGTTTGTGGCAGAATATCCCCTTTGCTTTTTGTCCATCACCTCAAAGGATGAGCAGTTACTCTACACTTACATTTTTAACATTGAAAAACTACTGAGGATTCACAAAATAATTTTGTGAGTCACAAAGAAAGTAAATAGAATGTTTCCAAGAAATTTGAAAGATACTAAAATGGATTCCAAGAGGGCTCTGAAACCCACCAGCGGAGCACTGTTCAAATGCCATCAAAATGCACTGGAAATAGAAAACCATATTCTGAAGCTATTAATACTAGTATTTGTCACCCAAGGTATGTTTCTAAATTTACATTTTCTAAACTGATAGCTATGAATCGCCCCATTGTTCCTAATAGCTTTGGGAGCCAAGGAAGCAATTCTTATTCATGAAAATCAGGAAGGGAGTTAGTGTCTTCCTTGAGAAAAAAAAAACCCAAAACTCCCTTCCTGATTTTCCATTTCATTTATTTTGTTAAAAGTATTTTAAAGCTAAGAGAAAGGGGTTAATGTCCATTAATCTAAGTTAACAAATCCTGCCACACCAGCAACACTACTTTAGATCACACCTAATCCTGACCGTAGGAAACAAATACTTTTAGAAATTTTCATTCTTGTTTGGAATTCATCCCAAAGGGGGGGGAAAAATCTTTTAAAACACTCATTAATGACTGAAGTCTGGTTAATGCTCTGCCCTCAGGTCTGAAGACTATAGATGGCTGGGCAAAGCCAATGTCAGTCCTCTATTAATTCACTTTTGTCTCCTGTAAGTAGAGATAAAATAAAGATAGGGTGCTGTCTGGTTTCCTTTCTCAGCTTGGACCAGACATCACCCAGGGCCCTGTGGAAAGGAACCCGGGAGAGGTTATTATAAGGTCTCATCATTTCAGCTCCCTCTGAGGTGAAGAGGATGAAGCATATGAGGAGAAAGGGAACGCTGGAATAGATGCGCATCTCCTCTTGATCTCATTAAGTCCACAAAAGCCTGTGAGATTAGTACATGTTTTTGTACACGTTTTAGTACACACATATTTATAAAGTTCTCAACTTCGAAAAGCAATATGCACACAAAGAATTGCAACGAACTGCTCCAAGCCGAACTAGAAGTCGTCAGGGGCAGAGGGGCGTAGGGGGAATGAATCCCTCTGCAGAAGGAAGCGATGCCAAGTAACCGAACCACAGAAAGAGCGGCTTCGCAGCTGCGCTCGCTCACCTGTACACACAGCGCTGTTTGGGATGCTCGGCGCCGGCAGTGGCTCCACCAGGGGGCGCCGCAACCCTGCCGGGGACTGCGCTCCTGGCCTTTCTGGAGCCTGGCCCGCGGGGCTCCGCGGTGACCACAGGGGTGGGAATGTGGAAAGGCTAAGAGAGAAGTGGCTGGGACACGAAGGGGTTATCACCGCTTTTATATTAATAACTGCTGTATAGACATCACAGCCCATTTCCATCCTCCTTCACCCAAAGGCCCGGCTTCCGCTAGACGCGCGCGCGCGCACACACACACACACGCACGCACGCACACATTCATCTCCTGCCCCGCCACGCGAGCCGCCCTGTGTCCCCCGCGAAGCCCCGGGCGGCCTCAGCCTCTCTCCAGCTCGGCTAGATGGGAGCGCCCGCGCGCGCCCGGACCCTCTTCCCCAGCAGCGAGAGCGCGCGGAAAAGCTCCAGGGGCCCGCGCCAGTCTGCTCTCCAGCTGGAGCAGCGCAGACGGGCGCTGCTGGAAATCCGAGAAGCCGAGTATGGAGCCGACGCCAGGGCGCCCGAAGCATCCTCGGGCCTCTCCCCTGACGGCGCCGAGGGCTCCTCCTAGATTCGGGCTGCGCTCGGCTGGGGCGGGAGGCTAGAGGGGAACGGGAAAGAGGGTCTCAGCATCACGACCCCCTTCCTCCCCTCCCGTGTCAAGGTCAGGGGTTGCCTCGGTGCTCTTTGGCATTAGGCAGCCGTCTGTGCGCTGTCAGCCGCAGGGGTCCCCAAGCTCCGCGCGCTCCCGCAGCGCCCCGAGGTCTCGGCAAATTCAAATTGCGCGCGCAGCCACAGAGCTTCCGAGGCCGGAGGTGCCGGGACAGGCCGAAGAATCCGTATCTCTAGCAAGCTGGGAGAGGGGTTGCGGGGGCGCCGCGGGCCCGGAACCACCCTGAGCCACCCCGAACGCCGGCTCCTCGCGAGCGGGCTCAGGAGGCGGCGCGACATGCCAGCCGCTGGCGGAGGCTCCGGCGGAAGCTGTCGTCCAGGAAGGCGTAGAGGAAGGGGTTGAGGCAGCTGTTGGCGTAGCTCAGGCTGGTGATGAAGTAGGACACGGCGATGACCAGCGGCGTCTGCGGGAGGTCGGTGGTGAGCGCCACCACGGTGCTCAGGTGGTAGGGCGTCCAGCAGAGGAGGCACACGGCCAGGATGGCCACCACCAGGACGGTCACCCGCTTCTTGGCGCGGTCCAGGGCCTTGGCGTGGCTGTCGAGGCGTATGGCGCGCAGCCGGCACAGCAGCGAGGTGTAGAGGGCGCAGATGGTGGACACGGGGATGGCGAAGCCGAGCACCAGCGTGTAGAGGCGGCTCGCGCGCCACCACAAGGCCTCGGGCTGTGGGAAGACCAGCACGCACTGGCGCCGGCCCTGCTCCTCGTCGAGCCGCGCGAACACCACGAAGGGCAGCACCACCAGCGTCGCGACCCCCCAGACGGCCAGGCTCACCGCGCGCGCGGCGCCGTACGTGCGGCCGGCCACCCGGCGCGACTCAGCGGTGGCCAGCACCACCAGGTAGCGGTCGGCGCTCATGACCGTGAGGAAATAGAGGCTGGAGAAGGTGTTGTACTGGTCGACGGCCACGACGAGCTTGCATAGGAGCTCCCCGAAGGGCCAGCGCCGCAGCATAAAGTCGGCGATGTTGACGGGCAGCACGAGCGTGAAGAGCTCGTCGGCCACGGCCAGGTTGAGGATGAACAGGTTGGTGACGGTCTTCCTGCGCGGCGCCCGCAGCAGCACGAACAGCACCGCCGAGTTGCCCGCCAGCCCCACCGCGCAGATCACCGCATACACAACGGGCACGGCCACGGCCAGCGGCGGCGGCAGGGGCGGCGGCGGCCCGGACGCGTTGGGGCAGCCGAGCGTGGGCGCGGGCGCTGGGCACGACGTATTGGCGCGCTCCGGCCCCCAGTACGACGCGTTCTGCATTCTGGCGAGGACAGAGACTCCGTCTTCGCCGCCGCTGCCCCGCGGGGGCTCTGCGGTCCCGGGGACCCGACCCGCGCCCAGAGCCGGTCTCCGGGCTTCCAGGGGAGGTCCGTTCCTGCCGCCTTCTCCGCGCACCGGCGCCGCGAACTCCGGGGCTGCGAGGCGGAATGGACGGAGGGCACCAGTGAGGCTCGCGGACCACGCGCAGCTCTGCAGAGAAGAGCAGTTCCGAAGGGAGGGGGCGGCTGGCGCCCAACCTGCCCCACGTGATCGCTGTCGGCCACCTGTTGAAATCTTCCTCTGACCCGTTGGCTACATCAAGGAAGCGCTAGAGAGAAGAGTCCTTATCTTTATAGGAAAAACACAAACCCACTTCCCCTACCTGAGCTCCCACCCCGCCCCCAGAGGTCCGAGTCAGCCCAGAGAGTCCTGCAGCGGCCAGCTTGGGTCCCCCGAGGTTCCGTGCGCCCCCCGGGAACAGCGCGCCCAACAACAGCCGCTGCCTCACCCGCCCAATGCAGGGACCGGGTCTGCGTATTCGCAAGCTGGCTGGAGAGGCAGCGGCGGCGCGGGCGGGCTGCGCGCCCTCTCCCGGTGTGAGCCCCGAGGCGGCCGCCCGAGGCTCCGCGGGTCCCGCCTCGCGCTTGGAAGCCGTGGGCTGGGGCAACCCAGACCGCGCGTCCTGGAGACCTGCCCGCTGCCCCCAGCGCCCAACCGCAAGCAGAATAAATAGGTCTCGAATCGAGAACCGCATTACCCGAAACTTAAGGAATCACTTTCTTCCTTACAGGAGTGTGACCTCACTTGGTTTGAATTAATGAAAAACTCTTCGGTTAAGACTTAAGGAAAAGCAAACTTGGAGTCTGTTTTAAAATGCAGTTAAGGCTCCTATTCCAGTTTTTTTAGACTATATCCCCAATTTGTTGTTTAGTCGCTAAGTCGGCCGGAATCTGTGCGATCCCACGACTGTAGCCCGCCAGGCTCCTCTGGCCATGGGAGTCACCAAGCAAGAATACTGGAGTGGGTTGCCATTTTCTCTTCCAGGGGTTCTTCCCGACGTAGGGATCCAACCTGGGTCTCCTGCACTGGCAGGCTGATTCCTTACCACTAAGTCCTCTGGGAGGCCCCATAAAAGAAAAAATATATATATTGAATGCTACAAAAAATGCTCACAACAATTTTAGAAAGCTACATTCAAAACAGTAAACAAAACTTTTAAGAAACACAAAAAATTTTAAACATTTTCTAAAAGTTTTTAAAAATTCCTGTTTTCTTACTCCACCATCCTTTGGGGGAGCCTGCAAATTACAGTTCAGGAGTCTGTCCTGCGTCCCTGGGATCAGTCACCCTTTCACAGGAGCAAGAGCCCGAGTAACATGCATGTTTGATCATTTGTGAGGCCTTGGTAGAGGAGAGGGCCTAAGACACTGAGGAGGAGACTGGAAGCAGCCAGTGGAAGAAGCTTGGAAGGGGCAGAAATCCAAATGCTTTCCTTTACCCACTCAAGTCCTCTTTTTACTAGAATCTGTATAATTTTGATTTCCCTGCAGTTTCATGCTTTGTGTGAAAAAAATGACAAGAGAGTCAGGCTACATCCATGAGCAAAAATGTGGCAAACACCACATGGTGTTAAATGAAAGAAAAAAATATATATAGCACAGATAGTGTACATGTAACACATATGTATACTTATGCATCCCTGGATAGGGAAGATCCCCTGGAGAAGGAAATCACAACCAGTATTCTTGCCTGGAGAATCCCATGGACAGAGGAGCCTGGCAGGCTGCAGTCCACGGGGTCACAAAGAGTCAGACACAACTGAGCAACTACCTAACACACATGCATGTATGTGTCTATATGTCTGTGAATATAACTGCTTCATTTGCAACCATTTGAATACTTTCTAGCTTTTAAATTACTGATTTCCAGCTTAACTGCATGTGAACAGAGACCAAACTCAATACGATCTCAATTCATTGGCATTTGTTGAAACATTACCCTGATACCAAAACCAAGAAAAGACCTTAACAAGGAAGGAAAACAACAAATTCATGTATTTCATGAACAGAGATGAGATTCAACAAAATCTTAGCAAATTGAATCCAACATTGTGTCAAGAACATTGTACAACATAACCACATGGGATTTACCCCAGGTATACAAGCTTGTTTCAACATTTAAAAGTCCGTTCATATAATCTATCACATCAACAGCCATTTGAAGGGAAATCACATATCAAATCCATAGAAATGGCAAAAGCATTTGACCAAGTTCGACTCCCATTCATGATAAAACTCTCAGCAGGAATAGTGAAGAACTTCATCACCTGGAGAAGGAACCCAAAAAACCCTCCAGGTAACATCACACCTAATGATGAGAAGTTAATACACACTTTCCCCCTAGACTGGAGCAAAGCAAAAGTGTTCCATCTCACCACTCTTTTTCATATTGTGCTGGAAATCCTAGCTAATGCAATAGGAAGTCTTTCTTTTTACTTGCTCCTTACCTGCCAACAGGACTCAGGGGAAGGTCCTGGCACACAAGGGCACTATCTCCAGAGATCTCCAAAGAGCATGGGGTGAGGGGGGAGGGAGTTGGACAGGGCCTAGAGACCAGAGTCTGCTCTGTGTTCCATTATCCCTGCAAGCCCCACAACCATCTGTTCACCAAACACCTGATTGTCCATCTCCATGTGACCTGCCTCATTCTTGCTGAAGTCCCCACCCCCTCTTCTCCTCTCAGATGCCATAGAACCCTCGACTTGTCCTGGGGCCTCATAGGACTGGGCCCCTGTGTGTATGTAATTAAATCTGAGTTTCTCCTATCAGTCTGTCTCACAACAGTTTAATTCCTGGACCAGCCATAAGAACCTAGAAGGAATAGAGGGAAATGCTTTTCTTCTCAAATAGCACTCTAGTATCAGTTTGCTTTTGCAGCTTAGGAAGATAAGATAATAAACACAAATTGCTCCTAATGTGTCTTCATATTGGAACCCCGTGTGCCATAAGCATCACTAAGACTGAGAGATGGGCGATGAAGGTCTTGCTGGCAGCCTCAAGTCTGAGGGCAAAAGTGTATGTATAATGCTGCTTTGTTTACCCAGATGTTCCCTGGAAGACATTTCTGGTAATAAGTTGCAACATTTTTCTGTGTTCGTTTGTTTTTTTGACAGAAAGCTTCTTAGAGCTGCTTGGTTATTACTGTTGCAAAATGAAATGCTTTGATGACACTAAACAGATGACAGCACTTTCTCAGTTCTGCACAATATACTCCTGAGGGATTCACAGAAGGAAACAATGATCAAAACAAAGTGGTCGCTGGGTTTATTCACCAAGTCATGGCAGCGGGTGGGGGGGTGGGGGAACAGACAAAGCACAAACTCTGCTACAAACTATGGGCTTTGATTAAAATAATTGATGGATACCAGTTCATTGATTGTAACAGATGTACCACACTGGTTCAGGATGTTAGTGAGAGGATAATTCCTCATCATTATACTGGAAGGCAGGTCAGTAGCACAGAAACTCACACAGCAGTAGAGTTGAAGTCCGAAATATGGTACCCACGGGGACCAGGCACTTACTGGCCAACTCATGGCTGATTACGTGTTATCCCAGGCTGGCGTGTTCACCCAGGAGAGGCT